TTAATTTTGTCACAAACACACCTTAGCTAAAAGCTAAGTGACAGTGTGATAGGCCCAGGAAGCACGTGCACCCCCCAAGTTGAAAAGAAAAAGGAGGATCATGATACTATTATTTTTCCCCTTCACATGAACAGATCTTAGATCAGAAACATTGGGTTTTTTTTTTTTTTAATGAGATCATGATTTAAAATACTTTAAATCCCAACTTTATTGTCCTTTTATAGTAACTTCATATTAATTTTTACAAGTCTCTTTGACTTTAATTATATAAAAAAATGGTAAAAGAAAAATCTATTTCTAATAATTTTCATTTTTTCATAAACTAAATTACCAGTCTTTGACATGATTAATCATATCTACTTTATTATTTTGCGATAAAGAGGCTCAGTTGTTTACATAAAGTGTCATAAATTGCCATGATGTTACCCTTAGACCGAAATAAGACGGCCAAACTTCTCCATGGGCCCAGTTTTTTATCTTTATCTTCTCTTTTTATAAGAATCTTGAATCCATTTCCGTTCTCATAAATCATAAACAATTAGAAAATTAGCCATGTTATGCGACGATATTTACAATTGTTAGAAAAAAATTAATTATTTTTTATTCAATCATTGATTTTGTTTTGATTGTATATGTGTATATATCTATAAATATATTATATTTAAATATTTAACAAATATGTTTTTTTTTAATTTATAAATAATAAAGCAAAAGAAGTAGGTATATTAATTTTTTTTAATTTTTTTACTCAGTTATGTCTAGAAGAATAATTTTCTTTTATCTAAACAGAATATAAATTATTTGAGTTTTTACTTTAATAGAAGTGTATGAGTGTATTTCATTCAATGATTTGGATTTTATCTTTTTAATAAAATTTTATAATTTTTTTTTTGTAAAATTTATACTTTTAGCATAATTTTTTAAATTTTTATATTTTTAAAGAATTATTATAATTTTTTCAATAAAATCCATCCCATCCCAAGTCCAGCGAAGTGGAATAGGTGTCATACATGCATAGATAAATTGTTTTAAATCTCAATTATCCTTGATAATTAACAAAAATTTTTTGACAGATGTTGCTCATCTATGCATGAATAGTAAAAATGTTCATGACCGAGTCAACCTCCATTGACCTTTTGAAAAGTTTGCTCAAAGCTCCATTTAATATGTTGAATCAAAAAAATTCAAAAAAAAATTAATTATTAATATTTTAAAATTAAATAAAAATATTTTTTATTAATTAAATAATGTCTCATATCTTATCGGATTTGATTGATGAACGATCTTAGTTAATAATGACTTTTTTTTAAAAGGTAAATATTGATTTTTATAAGTTATTTCTATACTACGTGTCGATACTAATTTTTTTAGGTGTGAAAAGTAACAATTTTATGTTAATTTAAATATAGTTTAGATTAAAATATATCTGCCTTTCATAAATAAAAAAGTAATACTAAAAAATTAAATAAAATATTAGTGTATCGAATTATTGATGCTGAATTTATATACATAAACAAAAATTTTCAATTATCTACCTTTTGGGTTTTTGTTTCCCCTTTTTTTTTTTTTTGGCACAAATAAGATTCAGAGTACATACTCATCAGTTCTTCACCACACAAATGCAAAGTTTGCCTGATCTGTCTACTTTATCAAGCTAAAAGGTCTTTTCTTTGGCAATAATACCAAATCTAAAAGGTTAAAACCAAAAAATTAAAACAACAAAAATCTAACTAGGACCGAGCCCATAATTAAAAGAAAACAACATGGTCCCCAGACAACTTTTGTCATCCCATATTTGGTTTTAAGTAGCTTTTTCTTTAGAATAATCAGGAGAAGAAACCTTAGCAGAATGGGTTTTCTTAGACACCCAGAAGAAACAACCAGCAGGGATTTTCTTTTCATCAGGAATGTTATCACTCTTTGCCTGTTCCTTCTCCATTTTCTTCATTTTCTCCTTATGTAAAGATCGCATTACGTAAGCTTCTGCTAGACCACCTCCAACCGTTGCCATTGCCAAACTGATAATTAAGAACTTGTTTAAGGAACTAAGGATTCAGATGGTGTGAGATATTTAGCTGGGCTTGTCTTTGAGAGCAAACAATTAGGATGGAATGAAATAATTGATTCCTGGAACGATCAGCTTGCCAGGAAATTTGTAGGCTGCCGTGGGGGAAAAATGGCGAAACTTCCATGTAGGGTCATGTGGAATATGGTTTGAATTTGGCTTGGCAGCCAAGGAATCGATAGGCTGAGTTAGTTGAATTCCTTTTTTTTTTCTTTTTTTTGTGGTGTGAGTGATTCTGAGAACGTGCTGGATTCTACTCTCTTTTACGTAATATTTTTGAAGGGGTGGCGTCAGCGAAAATCTGTCAAAAAGTTATAGTCACTGAGTTGGCGTGCGTCAGCAATGATGTGGCATGTTTTGGTTTGGTTTTTACCTTTCCTTGGAGTACTCAAAGACTTCTTTGAGTGGACTATGCAGTCCATGCTCCTTTCATGGATGGTCATGCCTTTGCAAATTTCTCGTTTCGCATGTCAAGAGTTCACTGAATATAAATCAAATCCATCACATCACTTGTAAATTACCGTATTTTTTCTTCATAAATTATTAAAGTTAGCAATTATCCTTTTTCATCTCCAAAAAAAATTGTCATTGAACAAATAATGCATTATAGAGATTTCAACGGTGGCTGGCTTTTTTTCCCAATTTTTGACAGCTGTTTCATTCAGCCCCACTTTATGCTTGGAGTAAATTTCTTACCTGTTATTGCTGGCTTTTTTTTCTTTATGAGATTTCCCCTATGTCCCAAAATGACTTGGGATTCTGTTCATTTCCCTCTAGTAAATCATTATTCTGGATTCCTATTAATTCTTCCTAATTGTTCATGTGCTTTAAGAAAAATCATACTACTAATTGACATTGTATCACTTTGTCATCGTTCGGGATATCAAATATTCCTTGTTATCAATTAGAATTATCATCACCACTCATCAATCTATGGTTGTCAATGTCATTAATCAATTCTCTCCAAAAAATCATTAATTGTTAAGTAAAAATAGAAAGAAAAAGCTTGGCTATCATCATGTTTATTCGGACTAAGGCATGCTTTATGATCATGAAAGGATAAAAACACGAAGATTAATTAGGAAACCGAATACAACCAAAATGCCATAGTCGTTGTTGTGATTTATGATATACCATTCACATTGAGTTGCCACCAAACACTATATATATGAGATACCAATACTTTGGCTAAAACATTGCAAATAAAGAGGAAGAAATTAGTAAAGAAAGTACACAGGCCATTTTAACTATACAAAGGCTGCTAAGTATACAAGTTCCAGCATGATTCGATAAGATCAATCACCCCAACCTTACAGCAACCTCAACAAAATAAGCATAATAATAAGATTAAGACGAGGCTAATTGCGATAAGTTCAAAGGAATATTCCAATCGATTTCACGATATGGTTGAATTCACATTTCAAGCAAATAGGTAGCTTATTCAATTGCATTAATTTTCATTTCCCACTACAGATCGTTGGGCGTTGCTGACATCTAGGAGAAAACTGAAATAAAACAGAAAAGATAGCAAGGAAAACACTACTATAGGAACCAATATTTTACATTTAGATAGCAATGTAACAGACAGCAGATAATTCCAGTTAACCTTTGCTGTGGTCACAACTCTTTACTTCTTTTCTCTCGTGTTCCAATGTTGATTCATGAGTGGGATTTATCTTCTTGAACACTGATGAGAAACAACCATTAGATTTTTTCACTACAAAATCAATCTGTCTTTCTCTTTCTTCTTCCTTTCTCTTCATTTTTTCTTTATGGAGCTTCCGCATCATGTACACTTCAGCAAGTTGGCATTCAGAAGTTGCCATGGCCTAGAGGCTAAAACTATAGCGATAACCAAATTATGGTTTATATCAGATTTATAGCTGTTTGTATCAGATTGGGGAGCAAGCCATCACAAAAATCTTGAACTGACTACTATTGTAAATATTTCTTGTTTTTGCTAACTATTTGGTGGCGGTTTGGATTATTTTTAGACAAGGACACTAGAAAAGGAACAGGGAACGTGTAAAGTGCTGATTTGTTGGAAGGTGGACGTTTAGCTTGGTGAGCAAGGTATAATATTAGATTTGCTGATTTTCTGACTTTATAAATTTTTTTAGATGATGCCATGTTGTTTGGAATTTTGAAATCTTGGCTCTTCCTGAGAAAGACTTAGAATGAGCCAAAGCAATGAGACTAGCTCGACGCTATACACTGTTTTCATTTTTTTTTTCTTCATTTTACTTTTCTGAATAAAAAATTACACTTCTTTGAAAATTATTTTAGCTACTGTCAAATTGAAAATTTCTACTTCAAACACATGTTAGATAATTAACTGAGAGTTCAACAAATCACTATCATATAATTAAATTTAAATAACAACTGATTTGGATGTGGATGAAAATCAAATTTTTATCGAAATTCCCAAAATTGAAGCCACTATCTCTTGCTTCTGGATAGTGCCTCTAAGCCTCCCGATGTTCACATGAAAGGAGAGAAAAGAGAAGGAATTACTCTCAAACATTGTTTCAAATTGAAGTTATTAAATTGAATGGACGAACCACATATATGTATACGTATAGGGTGACAATATGCATCTCCCTAATACGTTAATAAACAATACTTCATCTTATTATAGGTTGAAATATATAATTAATATCGGAATCATAGTTAATCAAAAAATCATACTATTGGATTCAGATATTATTAAAATCGATACCAATACAATTGCTCATAGTTTGACATTAATTAAACTCTGGATTAGATGACATTACTAGTCCACTGCAAAGGAGTAAATACAACAATCCTTTCACTCATTTTAAACAATTTCTTTTTTCTTGAAGTTCAGTTAGCGTGAAGTTGAAATGCTTGGAACTTGAATTGGTACCTTTAGTCTTCTGCTTATTACTTAGGTTAGTTTTCCTCTTCAAATAATTTGCAACTAAAAAATGAAACCAAATGTTCAAACAAATTTCATATGGTTTCAGAGCGAGCTACGGAGTTGGGACAGTGCTACATGTACTCAAAACTTATTTTGCAATATAATTTTCAAAACTTATGCAGTAAGATAAGATTTTGAAATTACTTCAACAATGGAAATGTACTCAAAACCGTTGAACATATTCCCAGTCTACTGACCAGCAAAGAAGAAAAGCTTCAATATTTCCAGGAACATTAGGTGGACAAAGTTATAGTTATATTGATGTTGGTTTCCCTTTTTTTTTTCCAAAGAAAATTGGACAAGGAGGCCCTCTCTCATCTTTGAGTCGGTGAAGGATATGAAATTAATCTATCGAAATTTTTTTCAGCCTCCTCGAAGCTTCTAATATGCGTTGTCTTTGACCAAATGCACTGACTCTAATATACTCTTCTCCACCAGGACCAAATCCCCTGCCTGGGACAGTCACTATGTTTGTTTTCTCAAGAATTTCACTGAATACATTCCAAGAACACAATCCTGGAAAGTGTACCCATATATAAGGTGCATTCTTGCCACCATAGACGCTCAAACCAAGTGATGAAAATGCATCAACAAGTATTTTGGCATTCTCCATGTAGTAGTCAATGACATTGCGTAGAGCCTGCACCCAGAAATAGAAAATTTCAGTTAATAGATGAACTTTGTCGTTGCAACTCATAGAAATTGCTCTTATTAGTAAATTTTAGTTCTGAAATTTTAATCAGACTCTTCGACAAAAGATTAGTACCTGGTAGCCATCTGTTGAAAGGCATGCTAGGCCACCGGCCTGAGCAATATTTGATGCGCCATTAAAGCAAGTGCACACAATGCGGTTGAAATCCTTTATAACGGGGAACCCGTTGGAGTACACCAGTTCTTCAGGGACCACTGTCCAGCCAAGTCTCACACCCGTAAACCCAGCAAATTTGGAGAAGGATGAAATTTCAATGGCAACCTGCATCACCAAATTTCAGTAGCCAAACAACCCTTCACATTAAATTTGCAGCAAATCTAGCTAATGAATAAGAAAATTAATAACAATGACTAACCTCTTTGGCACCAGGAATTTCAAAGATTGATCTGGGGCTTTCATCTGTAATATAAGCAGCATATGCAGAGTCATAAACTATTATTGACCCATTGGCCTTTGCAAACGCTACAAGCTGCTTTAGTTGCTGCCGAGTTGCAGCATGACCGGTGGGATTGTTTGGAGAACAAAAGAAAATGACATCTGTCCTTGGAGTAGTTGATAGGTCAGGAAAGAAATTATTCTCAGGCCCACAGTTCATGTAGATGAGGTTTCCATACTTCCCAGTTTCATCATCAAACTCGCCAGCTTGACCAACTATGACACTTGAATCAATATAGGCCTATCGCAAAATTTGGCCCATCAATGTGGTGGCAAAAGGGGTATAAATTATAAAGAATGATATCAATCAATCATTCTTGTCGCTGGGGTTCTGCTAAATTTAAAGATATCTACTTGCGTTTTATAACCAAAAACAAAATCCTAGTGTACTTAATGAAATGCTTCTTTTTAAGTATAATTGATTAAAAACAAAAATGGTAATTGAAAGCCCTGATAAGCTTACTGGAAACGATGGATCCTGCAAGGCCACTGTCACATTGGCTCCCAGAAGCATCTGCCATGGGAGAAAGCCAAGAAAAATTACGTCATTCAACATAAAGCCAACTAAAACAGAAAGCAAAGTGGTTAATCACTTGTTTTCTGATGATTTAATGAGTATGCACATTTCCCACATATACCAAGTTTCTTACCTGAAGGCGAGAAATGTCACATTGTGCACCATCAGATACAAAAATCTCATCAGCTTTTATACCCATATCCTGGTAAATTTTTCCTGCAATAGCCTTCCTTAGTGCCTGCAAAAAGTGAGGAAGATCATTTTATATTAGGCTACCTAAAGGATACAGGATGGTTAGCTGCTTAAAAACGCACTTCATTCACTTTTATGTCCCAGATTACCAGGGAAATAGAATCATTGAAGAATGCATACATTCATTTCACAACCCTTGAAATACTTTATGTTCAACAAACAGCTAAACACTTTCTCTGGCCAAAAAACAACATGTCATTCTTCCCTTTTTTAATTTCTTGACAAATAATTGATTGAACAGCAACTTTAGTTTGTACAATTTCACATGAGATAATGTTGATTAGCAGTGAAAAAGCTTTTGACAATTCAAATAAGTGGTCTTATCAAACTAAAGACCAGACCTATGTTTAATAAAGCTGTGAATGCAAAGTGGTGAAACAGGTAAAGAAAACAGAAGATATTATGTATTTTGATGCTCCGATAAGTATAAAAATTAGCTAAAAAAATGCAGTAGTACTCATATCTTGAAGTGGAATTATTAAATGTTTGTTCGTGAAAAAATTATACTATACTTCTTAGCAGGATGACTTCAATCAGTACTTGTATTTTTATCCCTGTGACGACTTCAATACATAATTAAAACATTTAATGTCGTCATCCTGAAGAATATATATGTATCTACATCATCTAGTTTTCATGATTTTGCATCCTTGTGATATAAATGAAGCATTCTCTTGTAAAATTATTGAATTACAAGTCCTTTAGTGGCCTAGACTTTTTCTGGTAACAAAGATGGTTCTTACACCATAACTTATTGCAATTTGATTTCTGATTATATTAAAGTTTCTTTTGGGATCCATATAAAACGATCAAGCTTTAATGTGTCTACCTATATATTTTACTGTGATGGATTTGTTATGATTCTGGCCATCAACCTAGTGCCACTCCAGCGACAATGGTTTTGACATATTGTTACCATTGATAAAGATGTCTCAACAAAATTAGGACACCGCCTCATAATTCATCTATGATAATACAAAAGAATTCTAACTCCAACCTCCTGGGCTTCATTAACTAGTCCTTTCTGCAACTGTCTCTGCCAATTTTATAAATCTTAAAAAATTAATAAATCATATCCACAAAAAGGTAGAAGTTAACAGATTGATCATCACATTTTGTAGTGATGGATACATGCAGGACAGTGGTTGGCAGATAATAGCAAAGAGAATCTAATGCACTATTATTCAATCAGAAATCCAGGTAAAATGCTCCTAATTAGTAATTACAAGGGTACAACCCTGGTAATTCATAATATAAAATGGTCAGGTCATTGGCATTTCTTGCCAGCAATTGAAGTGAAAAAAAAAATAAAAAGGAAATGAAGAAATGAAAATGTCTTTAATACCATGTTGCCTTGCTCAGCCCCATATCCTCTATAACCTTGAATCGTCGATAGGCCACGTACTTGCTGCAATTGTAAACCAGGAAAAAAGGAAGCTTGAAAACATGAAGAAATGGGGAAGTATTTTAAGTACCACACCCAATTGGTTAATTAATACCTCAGCCATTGCTAGTGTTATGATGTCTGGTATAGGCTGTGTTGTATCACCAATACCAAGTCTTATTAAGCTTGCATCTGGATTCTTCTGCATGTATTCAGACTCACGCCTGGATATCTGAATATGCAAATATCAAAGTGAGTCAATTGAAGAGTCCGAAGAAGAATATCAGAGATCTAATCAAGTCCTACATTATAATAGTGATACTGCAAACATTATCATAGGAGGCAATATGGTGAAAACAAAGTAACAAAAATTTAGATGCAACCAACCTCAGGAAAAAGATATCCACTTCGTAGTTTCTCCAAGTTCACATTTCGTGGGACCTTTGTGCAATCACCTACAATGATATCGAATTCAAACTTGGTAATTAGTGTGCGTTTCTCTGTATTACACTTGGTAAAACAGATTCATATCTACATCACTTTAAAATGTTAAAAGACTTACCAATTGTCGTCCCGGCCTTAGAATTTGAACTATAAATTACAAAAAAGAAAAGAATGGAAACAAATAAGTGCCATGCAAAAAGATATTGCTTATAAAAATTAACTAGAGGAATAGTAGTGAAAAAATGATATATAAGGACCATTTCATTAATGTACTCAATAACCTGCTCCAACTTTTTTTAGGTTGTAATAACACCGCGCAAGGTATGCAAATGCTTGATAAAAGCTGAGAATGATACATTGTTCTGTTTCAGATTTCGGTTCAATAGCTAAACTGGAGGCTTTGTTATAAGAATAATGGCATTTACAATGCCTATATATAGTTGGCTGTTTGTTGGGCACAGGCTCACTGAAAACATGCGCAACCGGGGACCACCTCAGTTGTGGATATGCAACAGAATTTCCTAGAAACAAACAAAAAAATGAGATCAATCTGCTCACGCCAGCCATCAAAGGTTTCTTCTCGATCTCTTCTTTTTTCTTTTGTTTTAGTAACATTATTCTCTGAACATCACATATATATGCATTTAGCCATTTAGCTTCACAATTGATTGCATGAAGTACTGTTTTTTTCCACACTACTACATCATACAAACTTAATGCTTTTCCAATGCAAAAACTTTAGCCTGGAAGATTCCTTGAACTTACCTCGAATTTCAAGTGTCCCATTATGAACCTCATATTGGCATGGTCTAACTTTTCTACAAAAAGAAAGAAAAAGTCATACCATTTGCAGTGAGACTATATGCATGGTTGATCAGTTCTGTTTAACAAGAAAGAATTATTCAGCCACATGGCACAAAAACAATTCAACTGTAAGGGACCAAAAGCAAAAATACCATGACACTGTCAACTGATGAATAACTGGCTGCTAGAGGACATTAAAAGGAGTTGTGGAGCAGCTAGATTGGACCAAATTATCTTGAACATAAGCGGAACATTTTCCATTCTGATGCTGACTTTGCGTTAATACATTCACAAACGAATCGATCAATCTAACATCTAAGTGATTTAAACATTGGAATTGGATTCATGCATGTATATATTAAGAATTGCGTCCCCTCAAGCAACTTATAACGAATTGAAGCTACATTGGTCTGACGGTTGCAAGAAAATAGACCATTTAAAAAGCACATATTCCCCCTTCAATAAATTTCTTATTAACAACCGAAGAGCCACAGATAATACTTCAACATACTGGATTAAGCAAGATATTACAAGAAGATCAGGACAGCTTGGTGAAAACAAGAGAAAAGAAGAATGCAGAATTTATGATCTGATGGACCTTAAGCAATGCCTTCCAAGTTCCAAGTCACCGTCACTTTGGAATTTTATCTCATCTCTGAGCCTGGAAAAGTCGGATCCTTGCCATTTTCCATTTCAGCACCCATGAAAGTGTAATGAGAATGACACCCAAGTTTATCATTTGTTAAAAACTATACTCAAATTAAAGTTTAAGGTGCTATTAAGTGAAAGGTTGAAGACAAATTTTTATTCATCAATTAGCATATTCCTCGATCCTCATCCCTCAGCTCAAATCAACCAACATATTCAATATCATAATTTCTTTTTGCCATTAGTTATCAGATAGCAATCGCAAGTTCGCAACCCATCCTTCAATGAATTCCAAGTTGGACTGTCAACTATATATGCCTGCCCTATTATCATCCGATACAAAAGTCAAAAGAAAGCAGCGGTAGTTTACCTGGCGACACGATCAAGCTTCCTACATGAATTTCGCCTCCTGAAACACATGTTTAATTTATGCTCACTTATAATCACCAACTGCTACTATATAGGGCAATATATATAGAAAGATATTTTTTCTGTCTTCCTCACGTTTCCATTATAGATTGATACACTAAATCTTAATTCAAAATACCTAAAATAAAAAATACTTTAATCACTGTTCCTTATTTTGTTTATTTCTTTTATACTTAAACTGTTATGATTTGATCAGACTGATGTCTTAATTTGTTTGTTTTACCATCAAAGGCTAACTACATATATTTCTTAGTCAAAATATTAAAAGCGTTCTTGAGTTTCCTAACGGCCTTCTTATTTTTTGTGTTTGATATTGAATATTGAAGTATCAATTTGATTTGAAAGAGTCAGACAAAATGTGTCTTTTACTGAGAAGTTGATTGGAATGAATTTTGTAATTTCAAGTAATAATAGGAAATCAACGCTCATTTTTGTTACTAAAAATTATCATTTCCGCATATAATAATATTGCAACAATTTGAAAAACAAAAGAATAATCTAATGGCCAATATTAAAGAGTTCACGCTGGTTATCATAGACATGTCCTCCTCCTAATATTTCTCCATAAAATTATGTCCGTAATTCTCAAATATCGCCAAAATCCCCACCGCTCTAATCCTTCTCTCCTCCGTCTCCACCGCATCAGGTAAGCCGCCATAATCTCTTGATAAAAGAGTATTAATTCTTTTTTGATAAATAATTGATGTTTATTTTTAATGTTTTTCAGTAATACTCTATATTTTTCTTAAGCTCTGTTTTCTCTTCTTAGTTATATTGATGAGAATATATGATTGAATTTTTTTTATTTCTTTTTTGTTAAGCCAAAAAAAAAAAAAGAATAGTTATTTGGTTGAAATTCTGTAAAGCAATGTGGGTGCAATAGGTTATTGCTAGTTTGGTATAATGCCCCTTCTTAGTTTTCTATATATATGAAATTAGGGTTTGTTTTAATTAAAGTTTAAGAGTGCATTCATCGGAGAAATGTTCAAGTTGTTGATTTTATCTCAATGCGTATCTTTGTTTCTTCTGCTGTATTAAACTTGATAGAATTAATCAGCTGAAGAGCGCGAAATAACATTGCTGAATTTCAAAGAGATGAGTTAGTTAAAATTGTGTGTTTGTTCTTGCCTGGATGTTGCTTTTGTGTTTGGAATAGCATTTTAGAACCATCACATTGATGTTGCGTTTAATAATGTGTCCTAATCCCCTGCTGTAGATAACAGATTGAGATTTATGCTAAATGTTCTTCTAAGATTTTGTAGTGTAAAACACATGTTTACAGTTTACACTGTTTCTTATGTTCGGATTGAGTGTGTTTTGATATATGGTTTTTGCGCAGGTCAAACCTGCTTAGGCACAATGCTTAAGACTGATGGTTCTTATTTTTAATTCTCTGAGAGCTGGTAGATACATCCATTGATATCACGGCACATGCACTCTATCCCTTGTAATTTTAGTGTATTTGGTTATCCAGTAATTTCCAGCAGTATGAAGGAGATCAAAGTAAAAGATGCTTCTACTTTGTGTACTCTTCTACCTGATGGAGAACCCCATATCCAGCAATCTGTGTTTGTAGGTGAGGAGCAAAGGTCCTCATCTATAAGTGTGAAATCTACCCCTGAATTAGAAAAGAAGTATGTCCATTGTGTTTATGATGCTATCGCCCCCCATTTTAGTTCCACCCGTTTTGCTAAATGGCCAAAGGTTTCTGCTTTCTTGGAATCTTTGCCTACTGGCTCTCTTATCTTGGATGCAGGATGTGGAAATGGGAAATATCTAGGTTTAAATTCCAGTTGCTATTTTATAGGATGTGATATAAGTGCTCCGCTTATCAAAATATGTGCCGATAAAGGGCATGAAGTTTTGGTTGCAGATGCTGTTAATCTTCCTTACAGAACTAATTTTGGTGATGCAGCAATCTCTATTGCTGTGTTACATCACTTAAGTACAGAGAATAGGAGAAAGAAAGCAATTGAAGAATTAGTACGAGTCATCAAAAAGGGCGGTCTAGTTCTAATAACCGTTTGGGCTGTAGAACAGGAGGATAAGTCATTACTAACCAAATGGACTCCACTTACTGAAAAATATGTAGAAGAGTGGATAGGACCAGGTAGTCCTCGTGTTCGTGGCCCTTCTGCCTTCACTCTAGAAAGCATTCCTGAAACTGAGGAAAATGGTTTGGGTGGGCACACAAAAGATTCTAGGGAGAATACTGAGAATATGCACCAATCGATGTGCTTAACCCCTGAAAACAAAGATGATTCATTGGTTTCTAAAGATGGAAGTAATCAACAGGAATATTTTGTCCCTTGGCACTTACCATATCATCGTGCTGAAGTTAGTGGTGCTTCTGCTGGTGCTCTTGCAAATGGTCTGGCAAAGAAAGATGATAAGAAGGGTGCTGTAGTATACAACAGATATTACCATGTGTTTGGTGAAGGCGAGCTTGAGAGGTATGCAATATCTTCGTTGCAAGTTTTTGCATTTTTATTTATCCATTCATTTTCTGACATATTATCCAATGATTGTGCTGCACATGGGGCGAACCTCCTCCCCCATTCAATTGACTCTCCAAACTGGGTTGACTGTGGCTTCTGTCTTCTAATCCTATATGTATGATGTGATTGCTGAAGAATTTTACCTAGTAACTGTTGTTTTCAATATACTTAATTTTACTAAGCCAAACGGACAAGATATTTTAAGACAATAGTGGAAAGTTTTTTGAACCAACGGCCCATTTCAAGTAATAAAAATAATCTTTTTTATCTACCCCCTTGGTTCAAGACCAAGTTGCTTGCCATGAACTTAAGAATGTGGCTTAAAGTTATGTTCCCAGTAGTAATTTCTTGTTGCATTTCTTTGCATCTAGGGGATGGAAATGGTTTACAACAGCCGAAACTGGAAATTGATAACTGCATTAGGAGTTTATGTCAAAGGGATTTAGATGATTTAGGTTAAGAAAGGACATTGTCAAGCATATACTTTTGATCATAATAAGATCTATTAGTTCCTTTGTTGCTTTCAGAATACAATATTGAGGTTTGATGATTGGAATGTAAATTACATATTGTCATATACACTGCAGATAAATATTTTCTGCTCATTTACTTCACATCAATTTGTGCAGGTTGGTATCTGGAATGGATAATGCTGTGATCATTGATAAGTTTTATGACAAATCAAACTGGTGCATCATTCTTGAGAAAACCTTGTAAGGCTAAAGAATTGCATTACTTCAATGGATCTTAGTGGAATTAGTATCAAAGAAAATCGGTTGTTGCTTTTCAGTGGCAGCCTTTTGCACACACTTCATGGTTGAGGTTAAAAAATTTGTCTTTACCCGTATGCAGACTGGGTTTAAAACATTTACAGGATAAGGATACTTCACCATCTCTTATATAGCAACAGAGGTGCTTGATCAATATGGCAAAAGACGAACTCAAGAGATTCCGCCAAAGAGATTGATTAATCAACCTTTTTTTTTTTCCAGTGTACAATGTGTTGGTATTGCTGAGGCATGTATTTCTTTTCTAAATGAGGAAAAATAGTGAAGAATTCTGTTTACAGGTTTCTGATAGTGAGTTTATGGTTCATTTCGGATTTACTTGTTCATATGTGCTCCATGCAAATTGAGACTGCATTAAAATGATAAGAAACCAGCAACGTGAGTTGCCTGGAAACATACAGAAAGTAAAGAATGATCATTGAATCATATTTTGTAAATTCTATTACTAAAATAAACTAGAAATTTAAGTTTTAAGAAAGAAATTAGGAAATGCAATTGACTTGTATCCAATACACATAATTTTAGGTTCATTTTAGTTGAAGCCAACAGGAATAATCCACATTGGAAATTTTATTTTCGGTTGGAGGTTCTAGCCTTGATTGTCTTGAATTTAATGCTATCACCTAAGTTTGATGTGATATGACTATCAAGAAAAGAAAAAGAATCATAACATATGATTTGTTTTTCAAGTTCTAAAGAATTTATGCTTCCCAGACAAGTATAAAGGAAAATTGTGATTTTCCTTTTAGTTTATCTTTTTATATTTATCATTGTAATTAAAAGTCCAGCTTTGAATTAAAAGATAACTTACTGAGAAAAAAAGCAATCAGTTGAAAAGTACAGTAACGTTATTTATTGCCTGTATCGATGTATATGTACGGAGAATTATAGTGCTTTAAATTAGTCACAACAACTTTTTTTTTTTTTTTGTTTATTCTTGTTAAATTCAACAAACTGAAAGTTTAGTTCAACAAAATTGAAATATGTACAAAATTTACATTTATCAAAAGCAGATTTAATAAAATGGAAATGAGGACAAAAATTTGATTTAGCATTAATGATTGAAAGCACATTCGTCAGTTATAGGAGGCTTATCAATCTACCACCGAATTCTTGAAGTAAGCAAGTTCGAAATTCATCAATTACATCAACGCTCATGGAAAATGATTCTTTAACAAACTTAATAAGACAGATGGATTGGCGTGTACAACAAGAATATCTTCTATTTGTGATATTTCAAGTTTTCAATCCTTCATTATTCAATGAGCCAAAACACAGCAAATGCTCATTCCCCAACTTCCTCTAGTTTGGAAGGAAGTTGCCTAAGTAGTTAATTAATAACATGAGAATTGAGACTTCTATTAAGATTTTCAAGAAAATCTCCTTGAGCATTAATTGATTTATAGACATGGGATGTCTTATTTTGGCACATATTATATTTTTATATATTTTTTCAAGGAATTTTTATAATTATTATTGAATACAAATTAATAATTTTTTAAATATTTGAAGATGTCACGAACTCTTATTATTAAAATTAAAAATTTAACATTCTACAAATAAATCATATGACTATTAAAGTATACAAACTTAATAACATGAAACGAGCAAAACAGTGCCTCCGTTTCCTTTTATTTTTTTGCCTTAAAGTTTGTTAGTTTATGTATAAAGTCCTGCAAGAGCAGGGGTGCTGGCTGGTTTACATCAATTTTCAAAGGTGGGCATGGCCAATTAGTGCTGTGGGACAAGTTTGGGTATGCTCGAAGTCTTCCTAGTACATTTTCACTTAAATTTAGCTAATTATCTAATCCTTTATCAATACGCAATCAGAGAATCAAGAATGGCCACGGTTAGAAGAATTAAATGAGCCATTGTGGCATTCACTATCTTAAACCCAACGAATAACAATACTCGTTTACTATAAATTTTCAGCCCTTTGTCACATTGTAAGCAAACAAAAACAAAAAATGGCCAAGGTTAGGAAGCTCTTCCCCCCACTAAAGGTTCTTTCGTTATTGTTTGAAATCCTGCTTAAAACAACAGGGAGGCTGCCCTATCTAAGGTTCAAAGTCAGCAATGATGCCCCAGCAACCCAATTCAAATATCTTAAGCACTCTTCATTTGTGCATAGAACGGATGAGGTTGCAAACCAGACATTGGTTTTTCACTTGGAGGGTGCACTTTTGAAGTCATGTTCACAGTTTCCTTACTTCATGCTGGTGGCTTTTGAAGCTGGAGGGCTCTTCAGAGCTCTTTTCTTGCTTCTTTTATACCCTCTTGTTTTGTTGGTTGGCAAGGAGCTTGGACTGAGGATTCTGGTTTTTGTAAGCTTTGTTGGTATTAGGAAGGAGAAGTTTAGAGCTGGGACTGCCATTTTGCCCAAGTTCTTCCTGGAAGATGTTGGTTGTGAAGGTTTTGATATAGTGATGAGTTTTACAAGAAACGTAGCGGTGACTGGAATGCCTAAAATCATGGTTGAAGGGTTCTTGACAGATTACTTGGGAATTGATGCTGTTGTTGCAAGAGAGTTGAAAGAATTCGGCGGATACTTCCTGGGTTTAATGGAGGAAAAGATGGATGCTGGACTCGTTATAAACCAGAAAATAAGTACTCAAAATATTGGTTTAGGTTGCTTCAGAAAATCTCATGATCAGAAAATTTTCTCCCATTGCAAGGTTGGTAGCGTTCCTACTCTCAACCCCTTTTCCTTTTTCTCTTTAATTTTTGATTTGTTCATTTATTTATGAAAGGAGTATGAACAGAAATCTGTGTTGCAACAGGAAATTTACTTGGTGACAGAGGCAGAAAAGAGGACTTGGCAAGTCCTCCCAAGGAATAGGTACCCAAAGCCATTAATCTTCCATGATGGGAGGTTGGCATTTAGGCCAACCCCATTAGCTGCCTTTGTTATGTTCATTTGGCTTCCATTTGGCTTCCTCTTGAACATCACCCGAATCATTATTTTCTCATCATTTCCTTACAAGTTATCTATGCCTTTATTGGCCTTGTCTGGGGTGATAAATACCGTTTCGGAAGCAGAACCTCGCATTGCTTCAATTAATGGTGAAGAAAAACCAGGAGGCATGCTCTACGTGTGCAACCACAGAACTTTACTAGACCCCATATATGTAACTACCGCTCTCATGAAGTCTGTCTCGGCAGTCACCTATAGCATTAGCAGGTTCAGTGAGTTAATTTCCCCTATCAAGACGGTCCGGTTAACAAGAGATCGAGAGAAAGATGGGAAAATGATGAGGAAGCTTTTAAGCCAAGGTGACCTGCTGGTTTGCCCTGAAGGAACCACTTGCAGAGAACCCTATCTGCTAAGATTTAGTCCACTATTTGCAGAGATGACTGATGAAATAGTTCCTGTAGCTATAAAATTGGAGGTTAGCATGTTCTATGGATCAACAGCTGCCGGACTCAAATGTTTAGACTCAACATTTCACCTCATGAATCCAAATCCTATGTGCTTTATCAAGATTCTTAACAAGTTACCAACTTGGCAAACACACAATGCTGGAGGGAAATCAAGATTTGAAGTTGCCAATCAAGTGCAGAATCAGATTGCAACAGCTTTAGGATTTGAGTGTACCGACCTTACAAGGAAAGACAAATATGCAATCATGGCAGGTAATGAGGGAATCGTATAGGATGCCAGGACAGCAATACAAGAAACATTCTCCCAAATTTCATTTAAGCATAAAACGTTTCCAGGAGAAACAAGTTTCCTGTTTATAATACTTAAAGATGTAGCTACTGAGTGTAAGCCCCGCAGTACTTATGATCTAGTTCATTGGACAAGAGCTTCAAGCATGAAAAGAATAAGCTTGGATGATTAAGCTTATTTCAGAATAGGAAAATTTGTGAATCTTAAATGTAAGTAGTGAATTTCGATTATGTTATATAAAAAGCGAAATAAACGACTAAATATGAGGGTTTAAATATTTGTTCCAATCCCTATTTCTTAAGAAAAAATAAACTGGCAGTACATAACCTTCCCTCTCATTTTGGCAAGCAATTCCAAATAAGATTAAAGTTTCATTTGGATAAACGATAAGATTAGTTTCAATAAGATTAAAAATAATAATGGTGATAAGATTAATTATTGTAGTGATAAAATTAAAATTTGTGGTAAAATATGTGTTTAATGTAAATGCAACAATGACTGCAAAATCAAGTGTAATGAAAATAAAAAATTACTATTAAAAACATTAGATTAAATTGATATATAATAAAATTTATAATATATGATTATTTTTATTTCAAAATAATAATTTTTTTAAAAAAATTAATATATTTGTATATCTTAAAAGAGAAAAATTAATATTTATTTATATTAATTTTTCTCTTTTAAGATATGCAAATATATTTAATTATTTTTAAAAAAATCATATATTATAAATTTTATTATATATCAATTTAATCTAATATCTTTAATAATCATTTTTTATTTTCATTACACTTGATTTCACAGTCATCATTGTGATTACATTCAAACACATCTCTCATCGTTTGATTTTACTCGTACCGCTATTATATCAATCTCATCACTACAGTAATTAATTTCACTTTTATTACTAATTTTAATCTTATCAAAATCAATTTTATCGTATATCCAAATGAACCTAAAAGTAAGTCATTTCCAATTGAATTTTGGGACATATGCATACATTTACCTCTTTCTTGCCAGAATCCTTGATTACTTGTGCACCACGTTACATTCTTGTTGCTTTTAAGTCTTCCCAACAATTCAAGCACTTCGGATTCTAAATTCGTCTTAAAACTAATCTTTTCAAGCATCTTATATTCTTAATAAACTAGACGGGGTGTTTTACATATGTACATATACATATATATATATATTCATTATTTTCACTCACCTATCATTTTTGTTTATTTTATAAAGTTTATATAAAATACAAACGCAATTATAATGAAATAAGTCGAACTATGAATAAGATGATTTAGAAAAATGTTGTAGAAGAATGCATCAAAGGGTTTTATTGAGAGTAATTTACCATCCAAGATTTGATTATGATGTGGTCGATTGTATTAACCTTGGTCTTTCATCTATTGATCAAAGATTGCAATGCCAGAGGCTTCCATCAGCTATCCGCTCATTGTCAATCTTCATGAATAAGCAGCCTCAAACATAAGCTGGTTTGCACCACAAAGCATTAAAAAGTGGATCAGACTCTTGGTAGTTTGTAGCTAATTCGTATATTTCAGAAGAAAGAGCCATCCCATTCATCTAATCAGTGGAAGCAAAAGGTCAAACTAAACTAATCTATCTTCTTTCTTCATTTTCCTCTTCTATCAAAAATAAATGATGATATTTGAAACAAAAAAAAAAATCAAATTATTGGCTTATAAACAACTGAAGAAGAGTTTTTAACAGTATAATTTGTTGGTAAAACGATAAACTTAGCTGATGGTTATGATTCAATTCTTGTAAAAGCTTTATTTTTTTTTTACTATTTTTTCTTGTTCTTTAAAAGTTATTGCTGTTTTTTACTTTGTCATTCATCATGGTGTAGACTGTGGATTATCATAATATGAAAAGGAAAATAAAACTTAAAAAAATGGCCACATTTGGGGTAAGTCCAAAAGAAAAAATTATACTGGTAAATAGCAATGGTCAAGGTTTCCAAGAGGAAAAAAAAAGGTTTCAAGAGTGAGATAAAGACAAATTTATTGTTTCAATTCGGACAATAAATTTGTGTTACGTATTATTAAACATAGTGAGAGTGAGAGGTGTGTTTTTCTTGAATGAATATATATAGAAGAACACGTGAACAAAGCCATCATCAACTATTAAAATGATGTTAGATATAAGTACTATTAAAGTGATGTTAGATATAAGTGGTTATATGGGTATGAGTTAGGCAATTAGCTTGAGGTGTAATCAAATATTAAAGGGTACGGGAACTTATTTCTATGATTTCATATTTTTTCAATTTGGTTTATGTAAATTTGTAAATTCAACTATAGAACTTCAATTCATTGTACTTCATATGATTCCATGTTTTTTAATAATACAATTCAATACATGTTTAATTTATACAAGTGGTGCATTGTATCATGTATACAAGTCAAAATTGTATCGTTTACATAAGTTCAAATTTGTTCAATTTATACAAATCAACAATTTTACAAAATGCCAATGTATCTCAACAATACAAAACAAAATACAAAATGCCAATTTAATTAAAAAAATTTTACAAAATGCCAATATAATTAAAATAACAAAACTAATATGATCCATTACAATCTGTAATTATAATATTTAAGCTGTCAACCATATCCATAAATGAAAAATAGCAACTAAACAATACATAACATATGAATGTTGTCAAGAATACAAATAAACTACATATGTCTTAGAAGAGGAAAGTGAAATGATGGTCAATAGATATTAAATTCATCTAATTGCTTTCATATATAATCCTATCTAAATTAATGTGACAGTGTAAAGAAGAAATCAACTTTGCGAGTATCCCTCGAGATATACTCACCAGTAAAAAGCATTTTATCTTGAGAAAAATCATCTAGTTATATTATTTCATTGAAAAACGATATTCATCTATCATTGCTCTCGATTTCTTTCTTGAAAAAAGATAAAATGCCTTTGATTTTGCTTGCTGCCTCACAATATGCAACATCGATATAGGCTATTTGTTTAACCAAATAAACTAATCCAATATCGCTCCTTAAATGTTTCTTGTCTGACAGCGTTCTGGTTGTGGTTGAAGTTGCCACACAAGCTAAACTTATTTCTTTTTCATCCTCTAATCTCTCCCCCTCATGTGCATTATCAAGCTCATTCTCATGGCAGCCAAAGCTAAACCTATAAAAATGGTCACATTTTGGGTAAGTCTAAAAGAAAAAATTGTATTGGTAAATCCAAATGGTCAGGGTTTCCAAAAGAAAAAAGGTTTCAATAGTGAGATAAAGACAAGTTTGTTGTGTCAATTCAGACAATAAATCTATGTCACATATTATTGGACATGATGAGAGTGAGAGGTGTTTTTCTTGAATGAATATATATAGAAGAATTCATGGAAAAAAGCCATCAACAACTATCAAAGTAATGTTCGATATAAGTGGTTGTATGCGAATGAGTTAGGTAGTTAGCTTGGGGTGTAATCAAACTTTAAACAGTATATGGGTACTTACTACTAATAGTATTCAATCAAGATTTATATGGACCACCAAGCATGATGTTAAAAATTCATTGTTCAATCATGATTAAAAGTAAAAAATATTACCATGAAAGTATTTTATATACATAAAATAAGTATGCATTTTTACTTAATAAAATAAAATTAAGAATTGATTTATATTTTTAAATAAGAGTTTATATTTAATATGTTATCAGTATATAAATTTTATATATTGTTAATGAATCATATGATATCATCATATTTTATATAAATATTATTATAACATATAGGTCTGTAAACCTATCGCTAGACATTAACTTAGGGAGTCACCACCAATTTTTTTTGTTTAGGTGCGATTAGCTACCTAATTGAATTTGTTCTATTTTAGAAAGATGTCCCAAGCTTAACTCATGTATTTTTAAAAGATAGATTCAATGTTTATAAAACCAGAACTAGGTTTGAGAATGCAGTTATGTATAAGAAATGTTATAACACCCTCATAACGCCCATCAAATGATAATGTTAGCTTGATTTTGTGTTATCCATTGAGTCTTAAAAAAATGACTCCAATATTTTTGACAAAAAATTAAGAGAATTTTCTCACATGAAAAATATATAAGAAAACTATTGTTTCTCTTGTAAAGGCTCTATTATCGAATTATTTAACATTAAAAATTAAATTCTAAAGAAAAATTGATACTTTAACTTTTTCCTAAGAATTCTTTTTTATTTTTATTTTAAGAAAAAAATTGATGCTATATTTAAGAAAATTTTGATACTTTAACTTTTTCTCAAAATATTTTTTGAAATATTTTTTATTTAAGAAAATTTGATATTTCAATTTTTCCTCAAATAGTTTTTGAAATATTTTTTATTTAAGGAAAATTGATATTTCAACCTTTCCTCAAACATTTTTTGAAATATTTTTTTATTTAAGAAAAATTGATAATTCAATTTTTTCTCAAAAAATTTTAAAAATTATTTTTATTTAGGAAAAAATTTAACCTCTTTTTTTTAAGATTATTTTTTTTATATTCAAAAATTCATCCTTTAAGCAAAATGATCAACAATAGTATTAAAATAAAAATTTTACCAATTATTGGATCAAATCCAAGTTGAAATCCAAAAAATTTAAGTTTGGAATAACCTAATCTAGATTTTGATCTAGACTTGAAAAAAGAAGGCTTGTTGACTTAGGCTCATGAATGGGCTCAAACTTATTCAAATGGCATATGGGCTGAGAGATTGGACTAGACCATGGGCTAGCATATAGGCTGGTAAGTAAGTTAATCTCCACGATATCACTTGCTTTATGGCCAGAAAACTTTGCTAAACTTTACTTTCTGTCTAGTTCCATTTTCTTTTATCTCTCCAATTCTATTTCTTAGCTTTCTCTAGACCCCTAAAGATTCCAAAATCAATACCAAATATTAGCAAACCCAAACTTCAAATTTCAGCTGCCTTAAGTCATTTCCACCACAGTGAGCCTCCATTAGTGATTGAAAATTGCCTTCTTTGGTCTACAAAAATCTTTTCACTTGTCGCCCAAATCTAAAGTCAACGTTGCAACCTTCTACCTTATTTGAAACTTCAAAAAAATATCTTAAGACCTCAAAGCTA